GGGACTCTCTGCTCCGCATCCCCGGGACCCCATACCCCGCATCCTGGAGACCCCCTGTCCCTCATCTCGGAAATTCCTGCCCCTCATCTCCGGGGACCCCCCGCCTCCTCCTTCCTCCTCCGGCCGCGTCCCGTTGGGGAGCGGCGGGAAGCGGGGGGGGCCGTTTCCATGGAGACGGGGCCGCAGCCGGCGGAGTGAAACTTTCCAGCCCCGGCTGCGCTGAGGGGGGAGCGGGCGGGTCCCGGACCGGGGTGTGTGTCGGGGGGGTACGGGCGGCTCCCGGGGCACCTCGCTGAGGAACCGGGAAAGTTTTTGAGCCTCCCACTCCCCTCCTCCTCGGCGGCGGCTGCCTGGCGGCCGTTCCCCCCTCCACCTCCCCGTTCTCCACCTCGGCGGCGCCCCGCTGCTATGGCACCCGCCCGTCGCCGCGGGGCGAGCAGGGGGAGGCCGCCTCCGGCTGGGCGTGAGGCGGTGGCGGCGGCGGGGGGGCTCGCAGCCCCCGGTCGGCGGGCGTCGTCCTCCTCCTCCTTCTTCTTCTCCTCCTCCTCCTCCTCTGGCCGGCAGTGACCGCCCCGGCCCCGCTCCCTGCCGCCTCGCCATGCCTTCCCCCTGCCCGCCTCTCGCTGAGGACGGGCGAGGGCAACCGCCGCCGCCGCCCTCTCACTCCTCCCTCAGCCAGCCGCCTCCTCTTCCTCCTCCTCGCCGGAGAAGCCCCATGTCCTGCGCGGGCCGAGGGGACGCCCCGCAGCTCGGCGCGCCCTGAGGGCGGCGGAGGACACCCCGCACCTCCCCACAGGTAAGCGGCGGCGGGGTGGGTGTGGGGGGTGTGTGTGTGTGGGGGGGTGTCTCCCCTTCGCACCCCCAAACTTCAGCCCGCCCGGGTTGGGGGTGTATGTGTGTGTGTGGAGAGGGGTCGGTGGGTTTTATTTCTCCCCGCACGCAGGGAAGGGGCTTTGCGGGGCAGCGGCTGCAGCGGCTCCACACCCTCTTTTGTCTCGGCGCTCGGGTCCCGAGTCCTTGGGGTGCTGCCATGGGGAGCACGGCCATGGCCCCCGACTTCCCCCCTCACCCCCCCCGTCAAGTTTTACCTCTATTTTCCCAGAAGTTAGGTTTTTTTTTTCCTTAACCTTTGTTTGAGGAGTGTGTGTGTGTGGGGGAAATGGTGGTGTGCGGGTTGTCTGGAAGGATGGGAGGCAGCTGGAAGGATGGTGGGGGGGCTGCCCTATTCCCTCCCTGCCTCATTCCCTGGCGTGCGAAGGGAATTCCCCGCTGGAGAAAGCGCCGGGATTGCGGGCGGGGTGGACTTTGAGACCCGAGTACCGCAAACACGGTGGATGGAGATCCTCCCGGCATCTCACGGGCATCCCCCCCCCGCTGTCGGTGTGGGTCCCAGGGGTGGGCAGCGCTGGGGTTTGCCGTGGCTGGACCCGCTTGACACTTAATGACTTAATTGTCATTAACCTGTGGGCTCTCCGGTGCGGCGGGTGTGAGAAATAAAACGGGCTTGGTGGTGTAAAGCCAAAAGTATTGAGGAAAAAGTCTTCCTTTAGCGTAGCATCCTGTGGAACGCCAACTACAACACACCCCGTGGCTGTGGAGTGCTTCCCAATGCTTTTAGGACGTGGGGATTGTATCTTTTAATAAAATTCCATCAGCAAGGGGTTTGTCTCCTCTGCCTTATCCTGCTTCTAAATCAATACATTAAGCAGCTGATATTTTTCTATAAGTAGATGGTGCTTCCCACTTCCTCGGTTTCCATCACATAGATTGGAAGTATGCAGATAGAAGGAATCAGTGCATTTTTTTTTTTCTTCCCTTTAGTTGTTTCTGCTCCCCTTTGTAAAAACTGGGGGAAAGAAGCCCATTTAAATCTCAGATTCCATTTAAACTGAAAATTATATTTCTTTTGAACGTAACTTGAATTATTTGATATTGAAGCCAAAGGGTCTTTCAAGTTTGGAACGTTTTAATGTACTTCTCGTGTTGCCAATAAGTGTACTTCTAGCAAAATACTTGTTAGAAGAGAATTGGTAGACAATTTTTAGTAATTTGAAGCATGACTTACAATCGGTTTCTTGTCTTGCGCACAGAAAAACACCCTCATGGAAAAAGAACCGTGGTAGTTAAATAGTAATTTGGAAAACAAAATCATATACAATTTATATTTTGTTGGCATAGAAACATATTTTATTTATCGCTCGTTTGTTGGATTGCAACAATGATCCAAATGAAAGTTGGAAAAGGAGTACTGGTGCAAGAGTTCAGCACACTGGCATTTATTTTATTCTCTGTATAGAAAAGGTTTTGCCCAATGGCTGGAATTGGAACAGAGCTTCATTTATTATTTTTTTTTTAATGGAGGCTCTGTAATCAGATTATAAAAGGTGGGCTGTCTGAATGTAATCCTGTGAAGTATGGAGTGAGCAAGCCCTTTTCTGACTAAATGCTGGAATATATGCTTCTGCCCCTAATGACCACCCCTGGTGCCAGTTCCTTGGGTGTAGCAATAGGTCCTGGTAATGGCATTGACACCATTCATGGCTTAAGGACACTGCTGGACCTTTCCCTGGACCAAGCCTTCTTTCAACATCTTCTGTTTCCTTGAAGGCTGGGCATGTGACACAAAAGACCTGTGCCATGCACGGGGGGGTCACATCAGCCACATCTCAGGGGGTCATGTCTTCTTGATTGACTCATACCTCTCTGGGGGTGGAAGGGAAAAAGGGAAAGTGCAAATTGGTGAAGGAGTACAGTACGTGCATGGAACAGCAGGAGGAGACTGCTGCTGCTTGTGCCTTGTTCAATATATTTTTAGGAGCCAAAAGTCTGAACTACTGAAAATCAGTGAAAACTCCCACTACAATTACTGAAACCAGACAAAGTTATGATATAAAAAATATGGAACTTAAAGGTTGCTGTCATGAATAGTTTCCTATTTTTATTTTTACAGAAGAATGCTGTCAGTCATGTCTATGATGGTGGTAGAGAATTTAGTGGAAATAAGAGGAACTTGATAACCTGCTTAGTGGTGATGCCTCCATCTGATTTGGTGCTGTTATGCTTTGCAAGCAGATCAATTACTTTTAGTCTGTGTGTTTGATCTCATGATACTGCAGCAAAGGGGAAAACATGAGTAATTTTTGAGCGTGCAAAATTAGAGATTAAAAGTAGGGTTATTTTGTGAAAAGATAGGTGTTTTGTGCCAGTTTAGAGACCCAAACGTGTTTCAGACCTCAGTGTGAGGCTGGAAAACGGGGTCCAAGGAGAACATGAACGCTTTAGAAAGGCAGCTGATGCCCAGGTGGAATATCCTATTGGATAATGTTTGTACTACATTTAAGAGGACACGAATCTGTTCTCCGAAACCTTGTCATTAAGATTTTTAATGCTGCCATATGATGGGTGTGGGAAGACACCCCAAATATGACCATAATGTCAGGATTTAGGGAGGTCCGTTCTCGATGGCCGTTGGCCAGCAGAATCTTTGTATCACTTCCCGTGCTGCTAACTGGTGACTGCCTTTGAGTTACTCAAAGGTACTAATCAATAGTTTAAGAATTAGAAATCTTCTTAGAGAAGTTTGATACATATTTTAAAACAGAACTGTGTACACTCTCCTCGCCCACTAGAAAGAAAACTTTCAGACAGTGCTTGAGTTAGTGCTTTATTTTTAGTTAGTACTTCAATTTTTAAAATAAAAATATTGTGAGGGAAAGTTTCTGTTTTTTTTCCTTACTGGGTAACACAACCCACACAATCTCTGGGTAATGAGGTTCTTAAGTGTACCAATGATTGCATGGAAAGGTGAAATTCACATCAGTGAATTAAAGTACTGAGCAGATGTTTTGCACAGCTGTTATTGCACCCATTAGTTTTACTAGCTCCTGGGAATCCACCTCTTGTGGAGTTAGTGAGAATAAATGCTGTTCTAAACATCTATTTTGGGACCTTAGTCTAACTGTACAGCAAGAAGTCATTATTCCACCATTAACCACTTCCACAGAACACAATTCAGTACCAGCTGTATGTGTGTAACTACTTTTTATAGAGATGAATCTTGCCAAGAGCAGCTCAAGTGGACCCGATGACTGAAGTTAATACTGAAATACTCAGATTATACTGGTTTCTTAGTATAAATGAAATTCCATTCTCCTTCCTGACCTCTATTACTGGATCAGTGATTTTAAACTTCATGATTTTACCGGATTTTTCTTAAAAATCAAGTTTATCTCTTTTGCACAGCTAGCCAAATGAGATGGGTACCCTGTAATACACAGCTACTTGAAATCTCTTATCTGCAGCAGTAGCAGAACATCTCTGTATCGCTGAGTTCTTACTTTGGTCTTTTGGTGACAGAAATATTACAAAGAGCACTTGGTGGTTTTTTTGAAAATAATTCAATGACCGGAAGACCTGAGAAGATTATTTCTCCTCTGTTCTTCTGTGTTTTGTGTTGAGGAAAGTTATTGTTCTCTTTTTCTCCATGTTCCAATACCTTAAAGTGTGGCAGGGAGGTTCAGGGCTACCTAACCAAAACTGGGTGTCTGAGGAACATCCTCAGTGAGACATAGTGGTGTAGCAGAGATTTTTCAGGAAAAAAGACTTGTGGAAAACGTGGCCATGAACTACCTTTTTGTGTATAAAGTCTCTTCAGAGTCTTGTGGGGGTTGTAAGACAGTTGTCACTTCACCCTCTTGTGTCCATTTATATCAACATCTTGTTATTATCTATATCCCACTGGAATTTTAGTCAGTTGTTCCTTTTGTTGGAAGTGTGACCATTTTCCTCCAGTTAAAATAAGCAAAAACAAAGGACATGTTTTTCTACATGGATTTTTAATTCTGTCCCACTGAGCTAAATGGTGAAACTCCTACTGAATCAGAGAAACTAAAATTTTGTGGCTTCAATGAAATAAGCTTTAGATACATGCAATAACCAAACAGATTTTAAAGATTACAAGAGATGTAAAAATGAAGTATAGGTTACTTTTCATAGAAACTGGTTTGAAGATGAAGAACTAGAGGGGAGGAGGAAAAATCTCTTTTTATGAGTGTGTTGTTTTTCTTTGCTCTTTCGCAAAGGCAGTTGGACCGAGCATCTCAGTGCGATGCTTTTAAAATCCATCAATAAAAAGTGCTAAAACTTGAGAGTGCTAAAATTTCAGCCTGTTGAAACCGCATACTTCTGTATTTCACTCCGGCTGTAAAATGGGAAGGACATTTTCAATGAAGCCTTGGTGCAGTTGGGTGCTAATAACCCATGAATTCTGGCAGTTGGTCAGTGACACTTCATTCTTCAACTCGGAGTAGTAGAGGTTTGTGCTTTGCCCGTGACCTGTGCTGGGATCTGTAGTGTTAGCTCAGAGAGTGGATATGAAATCAAAACAAACTTTTGAGAGCTTTCCAGTGGCAATCACACAACTTTCTCCTGATGTAGAGGGGGAATTCTAGCAGTAATTTTTTGTCAATTTAAACCACTGTCAAAGTGGATTAATTAGGATGCAGTTAAAAAGCTTCATTCACTATATTGAATTTGGTGTGATAGTGGTATCTGCTGATCTGTAATCAGTTGCCTATTGTTGAAGAACAAGTTTGTATCTAATCAATTTTATCACTTACATTTTGCTATTTATTAAATGAAAAAGTGCCATTGCTTGTCCACCCATCTAGTCACTTGTGTAAAATTGCAGCTCAAAGCACTGGAGTTTTCCCTCTTTGTGTAATTCAAAGTAATAAAGGCACATCACAGATCAAAATACAGAGGAAATACACAGAAAGGTATCTTGTAATTAAAAAC